AATTCATTTTTATTTTTAGTACGTTTAAATGAATAGCTTACCCAACAATGAACATTCTCCAAACTCCAAACCTGCAAGACCTTCGTTCATCTTCAGAACACAAATTAAGATATTTTCGTTGAAATCCGAGAGCCGTCTAACCCTCCATAGACCGCAATGCAACTACCGCATTCAATGCCCTGAGAGGTAGTAAGGACATTGTTAAAATAAGTCATGTAACATCAGTGGTTCAACCTTAATTTTATGAAGCTATGAGATTACTTTTTGTGCGCAAAGAAAACAACAAATAACGACTTTAATCAACAATTTCTTCTCTTCCATGTCAGTCTTCGATGCACGTTCACGAAGAGTACAAAGAGTACCGTGACAGAATTTGCATTTTTGGGTGAACTACCCCATTCATTAATTTCAGTATTCATTATTAAACTTATCTTAGTCTGGTTAGTTGGAGTTAGAGAAACATGTCTAATTTTTGTTTAGTATCATTTTTTTCTTCAAATCTTTACATGTTTTTTTTTTCAGCCTTATTCAAATGATTTGTTTTAAAGAATAGTTTTAGTTAACAGTAACAACAGTGAACCAGGAAAAGATAGGAACCAAAATGATCAGAATTTTATTTTTAACTGAAAATTGGGAAGAAATATCGGAAGACAATGAATTTACATGAATTTCTGTACAAAAGAAAATTTACAGTGTTATTTAAATGAATAGTACCAAACAGGTGTCCAGCATGCATTGAAGGGAGCTCTTTCATTGCTGTTTTAAAATCACCCCAGGTTGCACCTCTTGAAGTTGGTTCAAAAAATGTCCAGAATATAACCATTTTGTGTTTATCCCTGCAGGAGCCACGGCAGTAAGAGTTCAGGTCACCGGCACGCTAACAGCAAGGACTGCTCTTCTCTACCACGCCATGAGGACCTCCACCGGAGCACCGACAGCTTCCTGAATGGCAGCAACATGCCGACCTCATCCACCCTGAGTCCCACGCTACACCCCAAGAGCTACCAGGCCCAGACCCTGAGCCGCTCGGCCTCTAGCAGCAAAGACCTGGCCAACAACAACCTTCCCCACCTCCTCAGCCCCAAAGACGCAAAGGGAAAAACCGAGTTTGATTTCAACCTGGGGCCTAAAGCTGGAGGTGCCACTGTGGGAGGAGACACCTCTACCGGCAAGTACCTTAAGTCGTCCAAACAAGGCCGCCACTCGTCCTTCCTGGAAGGGAAG